GCGTACCGCCCCAGCGTGCGCGCGTACGCGGCGGGGTTCTGCGCCACCAGGTGGAGGCACGATGCGCCGTCGTGCAGGGTGGGCGGTTCGAAGCGCGTGCGGTATTCGGCGGGGGTGGGGAGGCGGGCCCAGAAGGCGGAGACGAGGTGGTTTTGGCGGGCCTGGATTGTGTGGGTGGGTTGTGTGTTAGTGAGAGAGGAGAGAGAGAGAGAGAGAGAGAGAGAGAGAGAGAGAGAAAGAGAGAGAGTGAGAGAGAAAAGGGTGGACTGACTACGATGGGGTCTTGGGTTGGAGGGGCGGTGGGGGGGGGGGAGATTTGAGCATCGTTGGCGTAGTTGAGGGCAGAGAAAGGGAAAGCAGGATGGAGGTAGTGCGAGGAAAGGAGAAGATAGGGGAAGAGTGATAGTTTTGCTACGACCAACCTGGCGTTCAGAGTTGATTCACTATATGCATAAGAATTACATAGTTTCATGCCATCTGACGACCAACCTCCCCGGTTTATTTGATGTGGTTAAAGCTGCGCCAAATTCTTTTTTTTTTTCCGTCGACAATTCATCACTTGTGCGCATGCCCTCGGCACCCTCGGCAGCGTCGGCGAATTACTTTTTCGAGCACAACGTACTCTTTCTACCTCTTAAAAGTTAAAACAACCCCTGGCACTTGAAGCTTGATCCTTGCATTCCTCTACATCCAGACGATCGTTTTGTTGCGGTTGAACCAGGATGCCGAGGGTGCCGAAGGTGCCGAGCCTGGTGCCGAGCCTCCGTGTTCGTTCTGTCCTAGGCTTCGAGACCTTCTCCGAGGGAAATAGGGCAGACGAGGTCTTTCGGGAATGCTGCACGTATCCAACTGATAGTGGTTGGCTCCGGCTGGCACCAGACACGGTGTGAGAGTAAGAGTACACCTTTCCAACCGTGGGAACGGTTCATCAATTGTGAAATTTGATTGCACAGACATCCATAATTGCTGCCAAAATGGTGGAATACATACCACGCCATGCTATATTTCGGAGCGCGAGGTTGGATAGCACGAGGTAACATTTAGAAGACCGCACAAAGGCGGGTCCCGAAATATCGTGCTACACATTCCAATTGACTTTGGCACTTGACGGTTCCCAGTCCTGACCTTCGGGCATCTCGGTCAAGTTGAGCTGACCTGCAGGATTCGTCAGTAAGCATTCTGATTGAGCATGAATCTGCGTCTTTTTTCCCACTCCTTTTCCCAGTGTTGTGCGTCGTTCAAAAGTCGAAGTTCAGCACCCCCTTTCTACGACCTTCGGAGTGACCGTGGTGAACTGAATCGATTTGGAATTACATGTCTGCTGCATACGGTCCCAGAAGTGAGACGGGAGCAATGACTCGTATTCGAGTGATATATAGATTATTTATTACGGACCAGATCAGTTAAGGTTGAACATGCCCGAGAAGCCCGATCGCTGCTGTGTACAGAGATCTGTACACGCGCATACGCGCAGGCGCAAACAACTCAGTATGAAAAATATTCAGCTCACTGTGATACCACTCTCCATGGCTGAGGATTGGGCCTCTTCGAGGCAGGCGCTGGTTTAATTTGACTTCGTCGGTTGAGTTTCTTCCGATAAAAATATGCCCCTTGTAGAGCCGACTGGGTGGTCTATTCCTGCCCACTGTTTGGTCTCTCACTTCTCCTTCCTGATAACGGGCAAGACCGAGGCAAGACTGGCAGAATGCCAGACTCCCGCTGCCACGGCGTATGCAATGATGAATTTCTCATCTCCGTCCTTTGACTTGGGGCCGTCGACCCAACCTATTATACTCCCACCGATCAATGCAATGTCTCGCCTATACAGCATTTGAATTATGGCGAAAGATGTTTCTCTTGAAGGCTCACACATTAAATCGCCGATAATGCCGATCAATCGGCCGACGATCCGCGGCAGTGCTGTCATCTTTTCTCCTCCTGTCACCACTCACGGCGTCGGTGGCCGTGCGCGACTTAGGTCCCCCGCCATGCTCGACGCGCTCGCTGCAGATTGTGCGCGCCTCGCAGCAATCGAGGCCCAAATTCTAGATCATGAGCGCTCCATTTCCGAACTCCGCATCGCAAAGGAACTGGTACAGGCGCGAATGGACGCATTCAAGTACCCGGTCTTGACGCTGCCGACCGAAATTACCTCGGAAATCTTCATGCAGTTCATCCCCGCCTATCCTCTCTGTCCGCCACTCGATGGCCGCGGATCGCCAACCCTCCTCAGCCGTATCTGCCACTCATGGCGAGAAATAGCGCTAGGAACTCCTTCACTTTGGCGGGCCATAGATTCGACCGACGCCTACATACCTACGGGCGTACAGATCAACAGGGTCAACCTATGGCTCAGCAGATCTCGCTGCTGTCCCCTCTCCATCAATATCGGGCTGAACCATGGGTTACAGACTGTCGACATGATTGTCCCACACCGCGCGCTTGGAACACCTGAACCTCCACTTTTCACCATCCAGTTGCCCTATTCTTGCAGGCCCAATGCCTGTTCTTCGGAACCTCCTGATCACACTCGACCACACTACCTCACCCGCCGTTCTCTCTGCGGTCGATATCGAAGCACCGTTGTTACGCAGCGCCACGCTTAATGATACTGCTGCCAGGGATATCACTTTGCCGTGGTCCCAGTTAGCATCGCTTACCTTATATCGGGTGTATCCTCGCGAATGTGTCCCCCTCCTGGAGCAAACACCTAACTTGGTGTACTGCGAGTTGGCTCTGTTCAAAGAGGATTATTCCGACGTACTTCCCCGTATCTCGCTTCCCCGGCTGGAGAGTTTGATTATGGTGGAACAGGAGGGTACTCGCCCAGTAACGGAATATCTCCACACCTTCGTTGTCCCGGCTCTCTCGATGCTCCAAGTTCCGGAAGCATTCCTTGGGCCGGACCCCATCCAATATCTGAAGTCGTTCATATCCGACTCCGGTTGCAATCTTCGCAGCGTCGTCCTCACAGGAGAGGAAATTGTGTTCAAGAACTCCTACGAGAGCACATTTCCCTCCATTCCCGAGTTCAATTTCCGTCGATATTAAAACCACAATGATGTCCTTGATACAAGGTCGGAGAGGACGGGTCAGTGATCCCGTTTCCTCTAAATCTTCGCTCATCTTATTCTTGAACTTCAGCAGTGACTAATCTGGTAGATCTGATCCAGAAGCATACCTTTCTTTTGTCTTCAACGCGGATGTGTAGCAGTTTTCAAATTGATATCTTAATTTCCTCTCAATGAGGTGTTTTGCGCCCTACGATAGGCAGGGGGTTTGTTTCGTTTTCAGTATCTTCCTGTCGCGCGTTCTCCTCAGGAGGTCATATCCACGACGTTTGTCGTACTAATAACGTGCACATAGTCTCAACGCTAGTATCCGAGTATCAGGCCTCCGCGGCCTCCGTGCGATGGCGGACACAATACGTCCACCGTCCGAGTCCGGCCAAGTCGTCCCCGTCGGTGGGCCGTTCAATTTCGTTTATATGAGCACCGACTCGCAGCCAATTTTCGTTGACGTTGACGAAGAAAGCATCCTTACAGCAATTATTCAAGATGCAGCCTTGGACAGCCAGTACGGTATGAACATCTGCCTTAATTTGCATGACTGACGAAGTAGTAGTTCAGACAACTTGGAGACGAACCCGACGAGCCCGTCGGAACTTTTAATTTCTTAGAATTGTGTTCTCCGGGACAAACCTAGATACAAGTGCAGCAACGCAGGTGGTTGATTTTTCTCGTGCTCATTCAGTCATCAATCTCTTTTTTTTTTTTTTCACTCCTCCCAATGGCCGTCTCGCCAGGACGCGGTCAGCTCTCTGACAATTATTCTGACCAAGAGCAAACCCGCACCCGGGGCCATGGTCAGTTCATCCAGGATTTGCCGACTGTTTTCCGCGAGGTGCGCGACGATATCGAGCACCCCAAATCGGCGCAAGTTTCCCTCGAACGGCATACGGTACCCGCCTGGCAGCCTGGTCCAGAATGCCTCTGCGCGTTCAAGTTCCGCCTGCCTCTCTCCCTCCGAGTCAACGATGTTTGACTCCGATTCCGTCTCCGCCCAATACCCTCCCGATACGACTCCTCGGGGCCGTATTTTGCGGGCTTACGCACGTAGGCGCACGGGTTTTGGGCGATGAGGTGTAGGCAGGGCGTGCGCGAAGTGCGCGCGGTATTCGGACGGTGCGGGGAATTTGTCGGCGAGCTCCGTGCCGAAAGCTAATATATGTGTCTGAGATACACTCTGAGTTGAATCCCATGAGCATCTGATCATGACTAAACAAAATTCATACCAAGTAGTAAGGAACTTCATGGTCAATCACTCAAATTTCTTCCCTCTCTTTTTTGTTTTAGTCTTCCCTTATGTGTTGTTGCACAACCTCTCCCTGCCGCATTCAATTCGAGGTCAATAACACTCAAGGATTCTCTCTTTCACTTGCTCCATCGCCCATCGAACATTGATCTCCAATGATCTAGCCTGTTGTGAAGTGCTTGTATTCCGGAGAACGACTAGATCTCGAGTTTAGATTGAGCTCTTCAACCGTGGGAAAGGTCCATCAATCGTGAAATCCGATCGCACGACAAACAACTTGGGAGCCCGAGAGATTCTGAAAGCCTTCCTAGCCGCCGTGTCAGTGTGATTACAGGCCTAATCCGTGCCATTTCGACAGTCAACGGCGGCTCACTCGTTCCCGGCGTTGATCTAGACTTCTCAGTCGAGTTGACCCACCGTCGCCCACAGGAAAACTGAAGTCAAACTAGATTCTGTGGGCTGTCAGAATGAGTCTGGGATCTTTGTGTGCACCTCCTCTGCTTATTCTGTAGGCTCTGAATATTCTGAATGGGTAAGGAGACGGCGATCTTTCTCTGTTTGTCCGTGTTAAACAAAGGAACCTGTTGAGCTTTAAATTCGTTTCTCAGGTTCCCTAATCCCGGGCCACTCTGACGCTGGCCGGAACTTGTAGTAGATGTGTTAGAGTTTCTCCAGAACTCCTCCACGGGCACATGGTGTAGTTGGTTATCACGCTCGCTTAGCACAAACAGTTTATTCCTTCTTGTGGAGAACTTCGTAACTACGGAGTGCGAGAGGTGTTGGGTTCAATTCCCAATGTGTCCATACCTTTTTCCGCCGTCCTACGACCCTTTGGAACTCGTCAGATCCCTTTTAAACCCTCACAACACCGAGCTTGACTACCATCAACGTGCCAGACTAAATTCTTTATAACTCGTTCAGATCGCGTCCCTTTGGCCCCATATTGCGACCAGAACGTCGCTCAATGCATGGCCACCCCCTGCTGAATTCCCAGATTTTTAGCTTCACAACTGAGGCGGGGGGGATGTCAACAGCATTCTGCCTGAGATCAATGATCGGAGCCGAAATTAACATTTATTAAAATCACGTCCCTTGCGGCTCATATTCCGCACAAAGCATTCCTACACTCCCGGCCACCCTGCCAAACTTCCAGATATTTAGCTTCGCAATTATTGAGGTCAACAAGGTTCTTGTTTGGGGTTTCGAATTTGAACTTGCACAGAGGCTGACAAATAAACAGCACGTCTGAAGGTTCTAAGTAGTTCTTTGTCTACACCTCTGGAGACCTCTTCGCGGGGCGGCCCTTCCTCTCCCCCTCTGTTTGTGTCCGACGTGCCGAGCCCAATGCCGAGCGGCAGCGTATATACAACTGATCTTGAGTGAGTCGCAAGATCGCAAATTCTCAAGGGAAACCGACGTTGGACCACCAGCATTATTTGAATAAACGGTGCATGAAATCGGTGGTCGGGAGGATGGTTGAAGCAAGTCGGAAGCAAGGTTAATTCAACCATCACCACCGGATCACAAATAATGTGAATGCCGCGGGATCGCCGAAACCACATTCCAAACAGAAGGCCGCACTAGGACCGCAAAGTTAATGCCGGTCCACGGCATCCGACAGCCTCGTGTTGACAGCGGTGCAGGTCCTTTCGCCACTTCCCTTGAGATGCCCGTCACCAAAATTGCCAGTACCACTTTCCCCAACATCGCCATCGTCGACGTTCTAGGGAAAGGGAAGGGCGTCATCGCCAAAGAAGACATTTCTCGAGGGACACTGATTGTCTCAGAAAAGCCGAGGATTACGCTGCCCCGCCATCCCTCTCAAAGTACCAACACCCTCTCGAACTTATCCCGGGAGGATTCTTTGTTCTTACTCTCATTCCCATGTGGACCCGATGAGCATCCCATCTTCGGACGGCGCAAGCATTTTACTCCCTGTGTTGGGGATGACGCTGTCGGCTCTGGCCTGTGTCCCACCATATGCCGTGTCAACCATACTTGTTATTCCCCCAAAGGGCGCCCCAATGCTGCTTACTTTTGGAACGTGAATTCAAAACACGAAGGTATGTCTATCCAACACGCTTGACTGGATCCACGCTGAGTTCTCAGAGCTGTGGGCCATCAAAGAGATTCAAGCTGGACAGGAAATCGAGGTTTCATACATGGAGGATATTGAAAATTACCAAAATCCTCTGGTACTCCTTCGCCAAAAATTCGGGTTTCAGTGTTCTTGTCCAGGGTGCGCGCGCTCTGCCGCAGAGCAGACCGAGTCGGAGCGGCGCATCCGCGCCTACAATGACTTCGTCCGCGACCTTCCTTCGCGTTTCGGTCCGGAGAGCCCCCTTGAGATCCTGAGGGATATCGAGACCCAGGTGCTCATCATCTGCGAAGAAGGATACACCGGAGAAGTGGGCGCCCGCGCCCACGATGCGTTTCAGCTCTGCGCGTATTATGGTGATGCAGACAGTGCAAAGAAGTGGGAGGCGATCTGCCGGGACTGTCATGCTTTGTATCATGGGCGGTCTGAGTCGTTCGAAAAGGCTCGGAGACTCGCAGCAAAACCCCAGGATTTCAGGGCGTGGGGGCAGTTAGGGAGAAGGAAATTGAGGGGTCCGGTGCGCTGGCTCGTCTCCATGCTGGCGCAACACTAACGACTTCGAAGAGCAAGCAAGTTTTGGAATACTGCTATCCTGAAACGCAGATGATGACAAACGCAACGCCTTCTGGCATCGGCAGCTCTAGTTCTGCTGTTGCATTAACACCTCAAGCTGTAGTAGAAGGAACTCCCACAATTGTCGCACCTGCCGCCATTTCCCATGCCATTAGCACGGCCGGGAAGCTGTCTAAAGGGCAGAAGAAAAACGCCAAAGCCAAGGCAAAGAAGGAAGCCGCAAAATTAGCCACGCAGAGGGACTAGTAACTACTTAGTACGTACGTGACGGGTGATATTGAACGAGAAAATAGATATTCAACCTTTTGAACTCGTCATTAAAATCTCTAGAGGCTTTCCTTGGAAAAAAACGAAATCCAAGTGGAATGAGTGTCATTGATCCCGAATTTATGAAGGAAGCGAACAGCCTGTTTCCGGCCACAGGTCCAAGTCTATCCACCCACTTCGACTGTGGCATTCCCATTCTCTCCAGACTTACACTCAAGAGAAATAAGCTTGAGGAGTACTGAACCTCAGGGTAGGCGGTGTTTACTTACTCGAGCGCTGCATTCCGACGCCTTACTTCCTCAGAGTGGTGGGCAAGTGGAGGTGCCTTCAACCTAAGACCTTGAGATATACAAACTCGACCATGGGCAAAGTCCACTTTCAATGCTGAATTTTGAACCCTGCTCGGCGAAGAGAGCGACAAACACGTAATTGAACATCGCCGAGAAGCCCGATGGTTGAACCAGCGTCACATGATTTCGCGTACTATCAAGGCTTGAGTCGTGTTAAATAATTATCTCCTTCCCTATTTTGACTAGTGAGCTCCTGTGTGAGCGGGAGACATTCCTCCCCCTGGTATACCCGGGGCGGGAGTGCTCAAGTAGAACAAGTGTGGGGCCGCTGACAATTCGACGGAAGCAAAGGGTACTTAGTTGAACGGGACAAGACCTGCGATTCCATTCGCTTTGCTCAGGGGACTGGTGGGCTACCGATGAGTGATTCACCGGCATTCGCATCGCCTATAACGTCTGCTAAATTCTATGAATACCCTCCAGGCTGTTTCCCGGTCACGGTATATGGGGCTGGTGCAATGATTTTATACATGACCTGTTCCTTGGTCACCGGCGTGCCCTGGCTGAAAATTTTCTCTGTCTCTGGAAACTCGCTGTCGCGTCCAATAAGTACTTGTCCGGGGGAAATATATTCCACAGGAGAAGTGTCGTGAACATCGGGGGGACCTCGAGTATAATGGCACTTCATGCATCACAATTGGCAGAAGGACACCGGCAGAGAATTGGATAAGGCAGATCTGAGGGATGACCCAGTCATTTCGTTGTAATGGACGAGTTCAAGCATAATTTTGAAGACCAGCGGAGTGGGCGCTTCCACGCAGTCGACCTGTCGAGGCCATCTATCTTGTAATGGAAGCATATAGCCAGTGCCGTGAACCCGAGGACGGAGACTTGTTGCAAGCCGATACCGCCCATGTAGAGGCGGATCCCCGGGAGCGCAAGTTTGGGGTGGTCGCTGTTGAAGAACAAATCGCCCGCGGCTTGGATCACTGTGAAAGATACTTGAGCCGCAATGAGGGAAGGGAGGAGAACAGCCTGTGGGAGTATCAGCTGGTTATGTTGATGGACGACCAACGTCCGAAAAAGTGCGGGAATGTATATCTTTTGGAGGGCATTAGTGAGCTCTCTGATTTTCCGCCGTTGCGTTGAACGTACTGAGTACGAGTTCGTTTAACCCAGCGTTTATTTATCAAGGGTTTAATTCTCTGAGCGATATCAAAGCGATATCCGGCCCGCCAGCGTGATGGCCGGGACACTTTGCCCCGGCCATCAGCCCAGATTGCTCGTTTCTTGTTTCCGACCTCAATCCAAGCTCGCCGAAGGATCCCCACTAGTAGCTCCCTCTTGCGATCCACCTCAAACACCGCCTTAAATGGGAAGAGGCTCGACTTCAAGCGCTCACGCCGCCGCGGCCAACGCCCCTCCTTTCTGAAGACTTCGACTTCGTTCCCTTTAACCTACGACTGAGTGAAAGAAAGAAGCTTCAGAAAGAGGCCAGTATTCGGAGACGGCAACCCCGATATCGAGACGTTTACGAAACTGCGGCTTCTCTGGAACTACGGAAACCCGCACGACAGGCTTCTGCACGATCTCAGGCACAGAAGGTGGATTGAGGTCTATATTTTGCAGCATGGATCATGACCTTGGCGATCCCTCCCACTGCCAGCGCACTGTTTTGGACTAGGGGGGCAGGTATTGTCGGGCCGTCTATTTTTCGCGCCCCACGCACGTTGAACGGCGGCGACGCGGCCAATCAGGGTGCCGGGAATCGTCAACGGAACCAGAAGATTTGTCAAGGTTTCCGTTCTTGGGCGCCTTGTCACCGGCGAAGCTGTCTTGTTGTCGATTTCCATGTGTCCTCACGCACGTTGGCCGGCCAAAGCTGTAAGGTGGGTAGCATTCGGCCTGCATAAGAGCGCTGCAGCAATTTTAAGCTTCATCACTTCGTCGCTCCATACTAGACGATGGTCAATACGACAGCTTTCCTTGGCCTCATGGCCACGGCCACCTCTGTCATTGAAAACGCCGCCGTTGTCGGCAACACCTCCGCCGGCGCAACGGTTAGCCCACCTCCCTTCGGGTACAAGGCGGGCTCCGCCCAGTCCGTGTCGAACCTGAAGGACAAAATCAAACACGTCGTGTGGGTTTTGCTGGAGAATCGATCATTCGATAACATTCTCGGCGGCGTCGCCCGTCCAGGCCTTGACAACCCTATCAACAAAGGCAACGTCTGCAATCCTCTGAACGTTACCGACCCGAATGGTCCCTCGCTTTGCACCCGAAGCAAAGATTTCGACTCCATAGCCAACGATCCCGACCATTCGGTCACGGGAAACAACTTCGAGTTTTATGGCCAGTTCGCTCCCGACAACACCGCTATTCAGAGCGGCGAGCTCACTGCGACCAACCAGGGCTTTATCGAGAAACAGACCATCTCTTACAACAAGATTTCTGCCGATCTTGCGGCCGCTCAGGTTATGGGATTCTATGATGAGGCGGAGATCCCCACGTTGCTTGACATCGTGGACGCGTTCACGACGTTTAACTACTGGTTTTCGTGTATTCCTGGTGTGCGT